GTCACATTCATAGGCTCCTGGGATTAGGAGAGGGCATCTTTGGGGAGCCATCTTTCAGCCTACCACAGATCCGACTCCTCCACTTCCTCTCTCACAGATGAATCATACTCTCACCAGTTGCTTGTGGTTGTGTCCAGCCCTGGTTTTCTACTTGTTCTGGCAACTACCCGATTTAACTTAAATAATAATGGTAATAATGAAACCAGTGAAATCTGGGGTCAGTAAGAAAGAGTTGCAATATCTATGGAACAAGTTAAATAAGCTAAGGCAAGTCATTTTCTTTTTTTTTTTTTTAATTTTTTTAATGTTTTATTTCTAGGAGAGAGAGAGAGAGAGACAGCGTGAACAGGGGAGGGTCAGAGAGAGAGAGAGAGAGACAGCGTGAACAGGGGAGGGTCAGAGAGAGAGGGAGTCACAGACTCTGAAACAGGCTCCAGGCTCTGAGCTGGCAGTCAGCACAGAGCCCGACGCGGGGCTTGAACCCACGAACCGCGAGATCATGACCTAAGTGAAAGTCGGACGCTTAACCGACTAAGCCACCCAGGCGCCCCATGTCATTTTCAAAATGTGGTCAAATTAGTTATGGCCAGGAAATCTGTGAAAATTTGAGGAAAAAATGTCAGATCCAAAACAATTAAACAATATGTCATAGAGATGGTTTGTGTAAGAAAGATGAAGTAGAATCCTTTTTGTTTTAAGCAACACATTTTAATTTCCTTTTAAGAAAATATTTGTATTATTAAGGGTCGCCTGGGTGGCTCAGTTAAGCATCCTACTTCAGCTCAGGTCATGAGCTCACAGTTCCTCGGTTCGATCCTCACGTTGGGCTCTGTGCTGACAGCTCAGAGCGTGGAGCCTGCTTCAGACTCTGTGTCTCCCTCGCTCTGTGTCCCTCCTCCACTCACACTCTGTCTTTCTCTTTCTCTCAAAAATAAATAAGCATTAAAAAAATTGTTTCAAAAATAGGTCAACAAATGTGTATTTAGATGATTTTATTAAAGTGTAAAGCAGTTATATTTAAATTATATTCCCACTTTAACCAAATTTTTGGGTTAACTAACCAATCTCTCTCCAGTAATTTTTTTTTTTTTTAGCTTTTTAAAATGTTTATTTAGGGGTGCCTGCGTGGCTCAGTCAGTTAAGCATCTGACCGGCTCAAGTCATGATCTCGTGGTTCGTGGGTTCGAGCCCCACGTCAGGCTCTGTGCTGACAGCTAACTCAGAGCCTGGAGCCTGTTTCAGACTCTGTCTCCCTCTCTCTCTGCCCCTCCCCTGCTCCTGTTCTGTTTCTCCCTGTCTCAAAAATAAATAAGCTATAAAAAATAAATAAATAAAATGTTTCTTTATTTTTGAAAGAGAGAATGCACATGGATGGGGGAGGGGCAGAGAGAGGGAGACAGAAGATCTGAATCAGGCTTTGCTGACAACAGAAAGGCCAACATGAGGCTTGAACCCACAAACCATGAGATCATGACCTGAGCCGAATTCAGATGCTCAACTCACTGAGCCATCCAGGCACCCCTCTCTCCAGTCTTAATAAATTTGATTCAGGGCTTCAGAGATGATATTAATCATTTAGGGCTACAAATATTTGGGAAGAAGGCTTAATCGATTAGAAAAAGTGGGGCTTAAAGTACTCTTGAAAGTTATGTAGGATCTGAATAGGTGATGAGGGTTGAGGAAGGCACATGGGATGAAACAGCATACTCACAATTGTCAGATAGAGATAAGTAGGAAGGATCATTGTTTTAAAGGTATCCTGACACTGAACGTGAGGCTCAAACTCACAACCCTGAGATCAAGAGTCTCATGCTCTTCTCGGCACTCCAAGAATGATCATTTTAACCCCTGAGGTAGAACCTTAATACTTCAAGTGGATCTCATTCCAGCAACATGAAGGGGCTAGAAATTTGGACTGCCCGGCCTCACCCCAGGCCCACCGAGTCAGAATCTGCAGTTTCACAAAATTCCCAGTTGATTTTATTTGCTTGGAACCTGTGACAAGGGCTGTTTTAGAGAGAGAAATCTTAAACTGAACCGAAGGCTTAATATGGTACATGCAAAACAGAATGCCAACTGGGTTTATTAAGCACCTACTATGAGCCAGACAAACCGCCAAGTGCTTTGCAAAGTCTGTCTTACTTAATTCTCAAATGTCTGTCTTGTGAAATAGAGGGGATCTTTATTCTCAGTGATGAAACAATCTTCTCTGCTCTCTGTGATCCCTTTGGTTGAACTTGGTGTAGAGAATACATTAGTGTCTCAACACCTCAAATGATTGCTTTTTAAAATTCAATATGTAAAATATTTTGACATGGTATTTTATGCTTTCTTTGTTCCCTAGGTTACAAACACAGTCGGGATCATCTCAGATGCCTTGATAATTTCAACCTATGAGAAATGAGAGACAACTCAGAAGCACTCTGGTTAGAACAGGGGTTAAAACAAAAAAAGCAAGAAATACGGACTGTTAAATGGACTTCAAAAATGATAAATCAGATGGAACCAAATCTTGGAGAGCTTGGGGTAGCTTTGGGGAACCCCCACAATGCTGCATTCATCAACAGTTTATGCAAAAAGAGACTGAGCCTTGTCTTTCCCAAGGAGGCATTGAGACAGTCTTTCCCTGCCTTGTCCAGACTAGGAAAGGATAAAATTGTATCTTCTTGCTTCTCCCTGAGCTTGGTGCTCAGCCCCACTGAGCAGGGTAGAAGAAATACCAGGAACAACCTGGGTGTGGGCACCATCCAGAGCCACGAACATGTGCATGCCTTGCTCGCTGGGTTGGTTTTCAATGGACCTCCTGTTCCAATTAAATGCCTTTCAATAAGAAAGATGTCATGGGCCTCCACCCAGCTGTTGTCTTGATACAGTCTGTGGGTGGCAGAGAGAGGGTCGCTAAAACTGTCCCAAGCACTGAGTGGCAGGCAGACTAGCGCTCACTGCCAGTGGGCTTAACCCCAGAACTAAACTTCATTGTGGTAAGGATGGGAAGGCACAGGGGGCTGGCAGGGTTGGGGTGTGAGGGGCATTCCTTTGCCTCTGACTTTCACAGAGCACACGTTGTATTCTAGAATCAGAAATCTGAGTGTGGGAAGAAGTGGGTTAGCTCTGGAGAAAGGGAAATGAGGATCGTGGGTCTCTGCAAAGAGCTGGAAGTTAAAAAAACCTCAAGCTGTGCTTATTTACCAGCAATGATTCAATGGGGTCTTTCTTTGCCAGGTCCCACTTCAGCCTTAAAAGTACCTTGAATCCAAGAAATATTCCCTTCCTTCCTTCCTTCCTTCCTTCTTTCCTTCCTTCCTTCCTTCCTTCCTTCCTTCCTTCCTTCCTTCCTTCCTTCCTAAGTAGGCTCCAGCTCCTCCCAATGAAGGGCTTGAACTCACAACCCTGAGATCAAGACCTAAGCTGAGATCAAGAGTAGGATGCTTAACCAACTGAGCCACCCAGACACCCCTCTAATCAGTCTTTTTAAAAATACTTGAGGGTCGCCTCAGTGGCTCAGTCAGTTAAACATACAAATCTTGGTTTCAGCTCAGGTTATGATCTCATGGTTCATCAGTTTGAGCCCTGCATCGGCCTCTACACTGAGAGCATGAAGCCTGCTTGGGATTTCTCTCTCTCTCTCTCTCTCTCTCTCTCTCTGACCCCTCTGGCTTACTCTCTCTCTGTCTCTCTCTCAAAATTTAAATACATAAACATTAAAAAAAATTTTTTTTAAGAATTCTTAAAAATACTTCAAAAAGTCTGAGGTGTCCGGCTGGCTCATTCAGAAGAGTGTGTGACTCTTGATCTCAGGGTCATGAGTTTGAGCCCCATGTTGAGTGAAGAGATTACTGAAATAAAAGATAATAAACTTATGGGGCGCCTGGGTGGCTCAGTTGGTTAAGTGTCTGACTTCAGCTTAGGTCATGATCTCATGGTTCGTGGGTTTAAGCCCCGCGTCGGGCTCTGTGCTGACAGCTCAGAGCCTGAAGCCTGCTTCAGATTCTGTGTCTCCCCCTCTCTGACCCTCCCCTGCTCACACTGTCCCTCCCTCTCTCTCAGAAGTAAATAAAGCATTAAAAAAATAGACTTAAAAATAAGAATACTTGGGGCACCTGGGTAGCTCAGTTGGTTGGGCATCTGACTCAGGTCATGATCTCAAGGTTTGTGAATTCGAGCCCCGCGTCAGGCTCTGTGCTGACAGCTTAGAGCCTGGAGCCTGCTTCGGATTCTGTGTCTCCCTCTCTTTCTGCCTTTCCCCCCACTCTCCCTCTCTGTCTCTCAAAAATAAATAAACATTAAAAAATAAAATAAGAATACTTTAAAAGTTCTATATATATGTGTTAATGCTTAGTATTGTTTTTACATTATTTAAAATGTATATATATTCAGAAATTTTCCATTCAGTGACTCAATATTTTGTTCAAAGATTTATACTGAGACTTGATATAGTTTATAAATGATATATTATATTTCATCTATCTTAACTAACTATATGGTATTATAAATGATAAACATCTCACACTCCCCTACTGAGGGAATGTTCCAACCTTTCACTATTTCAATTTTTCACTTATATGAGTAACCTTGTATTTTCTCCTTGAGCACCAGTGTGGAATTTTCTCTGGGATTTAGACCTAGACATTCTGCAGTTTATCTTAGTGTTTATTTTTTTTTTCTTGAAAGAATACAGATATCTGCCTAGTGTATGGAATGGCTGGGAACAAGTAACCCTGTAAATATAAAAATGCTTTGTAAATTGTGACACATGGTATAAATAAACAGCATTCTCATTCACAACTTAGTGATCTCTGCAATCTGGCTTACTGGAGAGCGTATATTTAGGGCACGACGAGCTTTCTTCCGATGATAACATCTTCACCATCACAGAATAATTTTTTTTATTACTTATAAAATAAGATTGAAATATGAAAATTACATGATAGGCTGTTTAACCCAAAAAGGTCTCAGGATCTGGACACCTACTGTTGGAAAAGTAGAAGTAAGCACAGGAGGAAATTGGGGGAATGTTTATTAGGGGTCCATACTTATAAAAGGATCGGGTGGGAGGGGGGAAGCAAGATTGGGCAGAGGTTGAACTGTGATATAGTGTCACAAAGCTTTCAGCCTGATGGGGAGCCCTGAAGTGTGTATTGCCCATCAGTGTCCTGCACTGGGTTGGAAGGGCTGGGTCTCTATACTTCCGCCTTACTGGGCACCAGAGAAAGGCGTACACTCCGGTGACGTGGCTCTCTGCAGCTGTGACAGCTCTGAAGAAAAGGACAGCTACAGGCCATCCATGTACCCCTCTTCCTGCAGCTGGGCTGCACCTCAGTTCTTCCTTGAAGGGAGATCCTGGGCTGTGTATCTCCACGTCCCTCATCTCCTTGTGCTGCTTGGAGCCATTCTTCACGGGCATCAAGAAAGCAACTTCCCCTGTATTCCACTGGCCTCTCCTCTTGAGGTACACTTTGTGAGGAACAGAGTCTGCCTCCATCTCTACAATTGGGTTTGGGCAACAATTGATCTATATCATTTTTCGCCTATGCTGTCCAGTCTAGATCCCTCAAACTCTTGGCTACCACATCTTCTGGCTTTGGAGTCTTACCTGGGGGCTCGACCTTGGCCCCCATCAATGAGGGACCTCAGCTCTGGTCACCATTTCCTTCTCTGGCCAGGCTCCTGTACTTGTCCATTTACAGTCACGATTGGGCACATTTTTCTCCCTGCCCCGTTGTGCAATAATAGCCTTACCAGCTCCTGATGACCAGGGTCAATTACTCCTGCCCAAATGGTGACTTCCCTTCTCGCCTGCCAGTGCCCAGACAGAACCCCAAAGTGTTTGGGCAATAGCTGTAGCTTATGATTCAACGCACTCTTGCTGGGTCCCCTGACAAAGTGAGTCCTCTTTGGGGCTGAGATCCTCCAGCCCTGCAAAGCCCAGCAATGTGGGGACAGGAAACACAAAGTCCCTCCGAAAAGGGTAGATGAGGCTATCTGGACTTATTTACTCTTCCTGTTGGGAATACCAAGCTCCCCAAAGACTTGGGTTCAATGCACATGTTGTGCTCTGGAGGCTGCGTCCTCACAGAATACTATCTCTAGCTGGCACTTCAGCTCTGTCTTCGGCAGCCTGTTCCAGCCCCATCAGGCTGGCAGCTTCTGGGCGACATGGTGAGTGGATCCCATGGTCATTGCCCATTTCCACACCTCCTTTCCGGTGAAGTCAGTTCCCCTGTCTGACACAACGTGGGATCTGGTGCTGGTGGGTCAAACACTCTGTAAGTCCTCAGATAGTGGTGCTGAATGAGGAAAGGAAAGGTCATACCAGAATATGTCCTGTGGGAACAAACTGAAAACTTCCATTTCTGGAAGGGGCCTAATGTGACCCACTTGCCATCAAGTGGCCAGTTGGCCTCATTGCAAAATGAGGGGCTCGGTATTGGCCTCTGTTGCAGACAAATTGGACATTGGACAGTGGCAGTGGCTGGACCAGTCTTGGAAGTTAGCCCCAATATGCACAAAACTTCAGTGACCACGATTTAGTGAAGTAACACCAGTCCCCCAACAACACGGTTCAAGTATCAGTTACAATAGTATATTAACAAACCCCAAGGTTAGCTCTCTAATCCATGGATCACTATCATCATGAAGATGCAGGTCATGATCATTGCTGATCACATCACTTACTTTCAAAGTCAGTTGGTCAGTGCCTACCTTTGTTCAGTTCACACACAGGTGGGCAGCCAAGCATTTAGTTGTGTGGTCTGCTTCCCTGTGAAGCTACCCATGTGACAGTTGACTATAATGAATACTCCAAAGAGGGAATTGGCCAACAAAGAGGAAAGTGCCCCCCCCAAATCCCCAAAGTGATAATGCTAGAAGTGAAATGGGAGTCAAACGCATTAGAGAAGAAACAGCTGACTCTGGGAACACACATCCAGGTGCCTTTTGGGAGCCTCTAGATGTACAGCAGAGGAACTCAGTGAAGGCCATACATAGCGACGGAACTAGAAAGAGGTGGTAGCAAGAGAGTGGAGATGTCCCAGAGGAAGTGGACCTGGCAAAAACTTCACGCGGAAGCAGCTCTTTGAAAATGCTCATGAAATTCCAGTTCAATTTCATTGAAAGCGCCAAGCATAAAAGTGTCGGAAGCTGATGCAGACTTAGGAAGGAATAAAACGGTTCTCCACAGAGGCATAAAAAGATCCTCTCCCCATATAGAAAAGTATACAAGATGGTGACCATTGTCCAAACTCTTCTCACTAAGTTTACTTAGATAGTAATAAGCCACGAAAATGTTGAGGCTTTCTTGTGTTTTCAATTACAGTTTACTAACAAAATATTAGATGTCAAAATCTTTGGGGACATCCACCAAGATGTCTGCATTCCATCTGTTAAGACTAAAGGTTTTTCTAACCTAAGCCCCTATCTTGACACGGGCCTGCCTTAATCTTTTATGAAGTCCAGTCTCTTAGCTGAAAAAGTCCAAAACTTTTCTTATCCCACTATTGCAGGTCTGAAGGAGCATCTGTGAATATCCAGTGAGCCTTCTAGCTTTGACTCCTGGATTTCATACTTGGTTTTCACCTTTAGCTGCTTCTTAACTTTCTGTAGCCATCAGTGGGGCTTAACAATAGCCACCTAATCCCATTATCCTTATATCTACCTTTTCCTTCCAAGTTTCAAATACCTGATACACTGCATCCGCTAGTGCATTTGCGTCTCCTGGTACTCATGCCCAAGTCACCCCCCCCGGCTCTAAGCCCCCCACCCCAGGAGATGTCACAATTGAATGGCCACCTGTACTCGCAGCATCTGGACTCTACTTACCACCAGTGATGCGGTCATCGTGGCCAGCCTGGTGGCATGTGATCCACTTCCAAACCCTCACTTAATTTCCTGCTTCCTGGGGCCACGCCCAGCACCAACGGTTGCAGGTTAGAGTCACCGGAGGTCTGGGGTATACGATGTTTATCAGACATGAACACCTATACAAGGATGTGAGAGAAGCAGGGCTGCTTTGGGGAAGAAGTTAACTGCCACATCCACCCAACAAAGGTGTCAGCAACCCAACAGGAAAATCTGGAGCAAGGATTTACTGTCCTGCGTTCCCCAGTTAGGCCGAAACAGTTATGCTTTAATACCCCCCACTTTCCTCAGTCACTGGCCTGGACTCAGGCTCTCCTGGGAAGGGCGTGACCTTGCATGAGGCCGTTTAAGCAGCTGAAGCCCACTGAGAAGGAGCCGACAGCCAGGCTGTTTGCTGACTGCACACCCTCCAGCCGACAGCACATACCTCCTTGAAGAGGGATCTGGGAGGCCCACTGCTGTGTCTACCACGTCACAGAAGTCGCCTCCCTCACCCGGCTTCTGCCTCACGTAACAGCACTGACAACGTTCATTCTAGGTGTAAACCGACTGTAAAACTCCACCAAACTGGAGTACAAGTCTATCAGTGTAAACCTCATCCTGAGAATGGGGGGCGGGGCAGTCATTTATTCACATATTTTGGATAAAAAGCCTCTCTTTGTTATTCCTCTATTCCAACATGGATACTTACAGAGAAAATAGTCATTTATGTTCCCCTCTTTTCAGTCCTCTAGAAAAAAAATCCTGAAAAAGTTTTCCTCGGAAAAGCAGAGTCATCTAGTAACCCCTGTGGCTAATGTACAATTAAACTGAACAAAATTAAACACCTCTCACATGACTGTCACGGGTTCCCTTTGAAGAGCTGAATCACAGACACGAAAGGAAACTCCCCCCAGAAGAATAACAGAAACATGGAGACCGAGAGGCAGCCTCGCTGTTAAAGACCCAGCAGGAAGGGAGCTTGGAGGTTAGCCCTGACCTCAATTCCTACGCTGCTGAAATACTACCGTGTTAGTCAGCCAGCAAGGGTTTACTTGGCTTCTCCATTGCTGCCTCTGAGGTGGCACGGGGTCCTGAGGGGAGGCTGAGGGCCAGCGGGACTGACGGACTCCCACACGGTCACGCTGCAGAGCAAACCCTGACCGCAACCCAAGCCTCCTGACTCGAAGAGTGGTGCTTGGTACTCCCTTCCTGGTGCTTGTTCTCCAGCAGGGAATGATATGTTTGGTATCCATGCACATATAAAACGGCAAAATCAGAGCTATATGTTGTTTCCTTTTTTTTTTAAGTTTATTTATTTTGAGGCAGGGCAGGGAGGAGAGAGGGCAGGGGGAGAGAGGACAGAGAGAGAATCCCAAGCAGGCTCTGTGCTATCAACATGGAGCCCCCCCGACATGGGGCTTGAGCTCATGAACCCCGAGATCATGACCTGAGGCGACATCAAGAGTCAGCTGCTTAACTGGCTGAGCCCCCCAGGTGCCCTATATGTTGTTTCCTTTTATAATGCTGCTCCTTCCTTGGGGTCCCCTTGGTAGAGGCTGTCAGAGTAGTGCACTGACCTTGGGTGTGCTTTCCCCACCAGCTGCGCCATTTCTGTCAGAGCCTGCTCTACCTGTGCTCCAGAGCCCCAGGCCTCCCTGGTGATCACCCCTCCACAACCTGAAGGGTGAGCCCGTAATGGACCACTGGCAGAAATGGGGATAGAAATGTTCCCATCCCTCTCCTCGATTGGGACAACTCTTGAGGTGTGACCTACCCGTCCCCAAGTCGCCGCTGCTTGGTGTCACTCCCTTACTTGGTTCTTTTCTGCCCCCCTTCCTTATTCTCCTAATGATTTTTCCTGAGAACGCTCCCTAATGAATGTTCCTTGTCTCAAAATCTGTGTCCAGGGAATAGAAGCGAAAAACTACTGACTCTGCGATAATAATATTATTATTGTGTCAATACTTATTAATAACTATAATAATATGTTTATTATTCTTGTGTTTAGACATGTTATTGAGCCCCTTTTGTCTAAATTTCCTTCTGTGTAAACACGGAAAATTCTTTCTCTGATATCAACTGACTGTTGATATGTGGGTGTGGGTTGGGGACTTGGCACTCAATTGGAGAGAGGCAGGCCTGGTTAGTGCTTTGGTGTGGACTGAGGCTTCAGCCAAATAACTTGCTGACGTGTCTGTCACTAATGCCTGTGACTACCGGGTGAAACAAGTGTTTTCCAAAGCTGACGGATCAGTGGGGCAACAGAAATGGTATTTTCCCGTATCTCTCATGGACTAGACTGCTGAAGGATTTTGTAAAACTCCCAGAGGGGACAGGAGGACAGGAACTTTGTAGGGGACACAATGGAAAGTAGAAGCCCAAGAGGAGGGAGAGGAACAGGCATCAAGCTGAATGGGGGAGGGGAAAGGGGGCCTGGCCCAGTAAGGTCCTGGGAGCCAAAGAAGATTCCACAGAGTGATAGGATGAGGATGAGAAGGCCTAGGGGCATAACTGGAGTTGGTAAAGCCTCCAGGGGACATAGGACAAATAAACACCCAAGGAAGAGAAGCTTTCAAAACATTTGTAATCCCTTACTAACTGACAGGCAATATAGTGGGTGACTATCAGTCTTATGGCTAAAACACTCAAACACACCCTCTTTGTGTAGGAAGAGCCTGTACTGGCCAGCCACAGTGACTAAACTTTCCACACTTAGTCAAATCATTTGATTAAGGCAAGATTTCTTAACCTGGACCCAAGGCCCAAGGCCCTTGAATTCAGGGGGCCCATGAACTTGGATGAAGAAAAAAATTATATCTTTACCTGCATTCTCACCTAACTGAAATTTTAATTGTGAATGTAGTCAACAAAACTTAGCGGCACCTAAGACTTTGTCACCAATAGAAATCATGGATATTTTTGTATAACATTTCAGCTGCTGTGAATATTTCAAGATATCATTAATGCTCACTATATTTTCAAATTAAGAAAACTAGACATGCCTCTACATCTTGTTTTCTGATGTATCAGTAAAGATGAACTCATTACTATTTCACATTTCAAAACATATTTTGAGAGCAGTGTTTCAATATAATTGGTTTTCTTTGTATTTTATTTTACGCCTTTAAAACCATCTTCTGAAAAGAGGTCCATGGAAGAACAGAATAATAATAATGAAGGCATTGAAAGTCACATATAAAAGCTCATGTGAGTAGTTGTTACTGATTTCCTTTAACAGGCATCAGAAGAGCTTCACCCACCCCACCCCTACCGAAGAAAGAGGGCAGCAGAAAAGGTGAATACTGATGAGGGAAAAAGAAGAGAAAGATCTGCTTCCGAGGACAGAACCAGGTGTTAGCACCGTACCTGGGGAATCGTCAGCTCCCCTGAAGGACAGAAGGACGTGCTTCAAAAAAGAGAAAGCCAGAGGATGTTACCACAACAAACAAACAAAGATCAGACGACCTTCTCTGCAAAGTGATGTGGATTGAAGGATGAGTCAACCGAGATGTGGATGTTAAAAATGCAGATTTGGGGCGCCTGGGTGGCTTAGTCGGTTAAGCGTCCGACTTTCGCTTAGGTCATGATCTCGAGGTTCGTGGGTTCAAGCCCCGCGTCGGGCTCTGTGCTGACTGCCAGCTCAGAGCCTGGAGCCTGTTTCAGTCTGTGACTCCCTCTCTCTCTGACCCTCCCCTGCTCACGCTGTCTCTCTCTCTCTCTCCTAGAAATAAATAAAAATATTTTAAAAAATGCAGATTTTCAGTCCTTGGGTTGAGCGTGGGAATCTGTATTTTTCACAAGCACCCCAGGCGATGTGGGGCTAAAACCAGCACAGAGAGTCTTGACTCTAAGAATGTTGGGATGGAAAAGAACGCTGGAGCTTTCCAGGGAATAACTCAGCTATCCTTGACATGCTAATTTGTACCTGCATTCCCAAGAAATGGAGATTGCATCCCTGTGTGTTATAATCCAGCCCCCTACTGGGGTAGGTGGACCTTCTCCCTCCAGGAATTTTAAATCCTGTGTCATTCATGAATGTATGGCCTCATATATTTCAAAGCACCAGGTCAGGTCTTTCCTTGGACTAAATGAATCTTTTGAAGCAGGTCTGAATTCTAACTACACTTCCTATCTTAGTTTTAAAAGAGTGAGATATTTATTTATTAACAAATACTTATTATGCAAAGCATAATGTTCTAACCTTAGTGTAACCGAATGCAGTTTGGGATTTGGGGGGATGTTCTGAGTATGTTTCAAAGAGAGATTTAAATTGCTAATTTCCTAGCGTTGGAATGTGAGTAAGGACTGTCACAGGCTTAGCATGCAAGCCACATATTTAACATTCCTGTGTAGTAACAGTCTCTTAAGTTGTGTTTTGGTTTGAGAAACAGCCAGAATAAATATAGCACGAGGGGGAAACTTTGTTGTTTATTTTCAAGGGGATAAAAATTTATGAGGAGCTTTTGCTCACCAGAAAAGAGTTTTCTCTTTAGTCTCCCATATGATTTTATACCTCTAATCACATTGAAAAGAACTTCTTTCCTAATGCTCTCTGAGTTCTGCATTTTAGCTCCCAGAACAAGGAAGTGAAGGGCTATGAAACGCACACACATACACACACACACACACACACACACACACACTGAAGAGCAAGCATATCACCAGACAATATATGTGATTTGAAACAAAGACATAATTATTTGCCTAAGACTGGGAGAGTTGTGCTGGGGTGCTGTGAGGAACTATAACTGGGTCTCTCCTTCCCCCCTCCCCCAATCTTAGCCACTTCCTCCACATTCATTCTCTTTTGAGTATCCAAGACATGGCATTTTGACTGTAGCAAAACCTCATTGCATTATTGCCATTGAAATGGCATAATTAGTGACAATTCAGTCCATTTGTATTGGGCACCTTCCACTTATACCAGGATCTGGTCTCAGCCTTGTATGTACATTGGCTCATTGACTCCTCATAATAACACCATTAGGTAGGCTTTATCATCCACATTTTAGAAGTGACTGGCATAGAGTAGGCACTCATTGAATAGTACTTAATGTTTTAAATCATCATTATTACTTTTATGAATAACTTCCATATGAGGCAATCGGGACACTTTCTGACTCTTACTTGAGCCTTG